CTGCAATCTCACAGCGTAGTTGTACAAGCTGCGCTTCCAGCTCCGCTTGTCTCTCTCCTCCCGGAGGCGGCGCATCTTGGTCGTTCTCGCGCGTCGTGGGGGCCATGGTCGTCCAGGCTTGACCAACAAGTGCTACCAGTATATCAAACCGACCCAATTCCGAATTTCCTGTACCTTTCCCACTACCGCACCATGAAGTCCGCCGCTATCGTCTCTACTGTCCTCGTCGCCTAAAGTGAGGTCCTGGGACCCGCGATCGGCCATGGTATCCCTCATCGAACAAAAAGTTGATTCATTTCTGTCACAGAATGTCATTCTGCCCGAGTCCAGAAGATGCTAACGATCTTTCAAAGAGTGTTCGGTTTAAATGCTTAGTGAAAGAGGTAGACTTCCTGACTTTAATAGGTAGGTCTTAGCTCACCTTCCCCTGCATAACCCCGCTACATATCGTCGAATCCAGCAACCCCACCGCAACCTAGCCACCCAAATAACGACAAATCCACCCTCTCATATCGTAGCTACTGCTGTATCTATTCCTACCCCAGTTTGAGTGGTGTATAAGTATTCTGTCAAGTACAAACAGCCATACACTCGTATCCACGTAAGTAAAATTTTATCGCACAAGTCGGCATTTTCGTGGTCGAAAATCTCCCAGTTATACTACTAGAATATCTAAGGAAATGTTGCTTAAGAACAACTAGCCCAAGATGGCCATCAGGCAATGTTCCTGTTATACGTTCTGGAAGAGCAACTATGCCTGCGTATCATCAATCTAGCAAAGAGTGTTTTATAAATCATAGAAAGTCGTAAATGAGACCTCGCTATAATAATTAAAACTCGAGTTTATAACCGATATAATATACAAATCTGAGCCAACATATCCACAATGAGCAATATCTTCTGAAACTTAAAAAATGGAAATTGGTTGAGAACCTGTTATATAAAATTCGCAGTTCGACGTAAGGAGAACTGTGTTAGGTGGCTTACCGAGGGGTCATTCTGTAAGATGTGACCAAACGACCTTCGTGCGACGGCGCTG